GCTTTCAGTTTCATGGCAAAAAACTAATAAGTCCATCAGAGGGGGAGATACCAACAGATGTCTTCTGGAAGGAGAAGCCTGGTGAATCCACAGGTTGGATATCTGAATGCCATATGGCATGAACCAAAGATGAGATATTAGTTGCTGTTAGGAATTTAATTTTCCAGGTAAAGAACTGATTCACTGCCATTTTCCTCTTGTTTGTTTATTGTTTAATTTCAATTTTTGTAATGTGCATTGTTGTCTTATTTATCTTTCCTTTGGTAATTATTTTTATCAATCAACTGTGTCTGATTCAGAGGAAAGACAGAACTCCTGATTTCTCTAGTTTGTTGAATAGTATAACAACCAGGCAACTATTTAATATGGAAATTCAGGATTGGAAACCTTTTTATCAGAATAGGTTTCATATACAGTATCTGTCAGGGCTCCGGGTATGACCAGAGGTATGTGAACTGACGCAGGGAAATGCAGGCTTCAGATATGTTATAAACAATATAATTTATTAATACTAACAATACAAAACGCAGTGCAATACTAAAACATAAACAAAGTGCAAACGAACCAAACCAAACCACCCACAGATAACAATACATACAATGCAAGCGTAGTCAGGCAGGCCGGGTCAATAACAATTGGGCAGGTAGGAACAGGAGGAGCAGGCAGAGAGTAGTCAGGTCACGAGCCGGGTACAGCAACTAACGGGCAGGTAGGTACAGGGGGTCAGGCAGAGAATGGTCGGGGTCACAAGCCAGGGATCAAACAGGAGAAGTCAGCAGAGGTCAGGATCAAGCAGGGTCGGCAACAAGTCAGTCAGGCAGGAACAGGAATGCAGGTAACAAGATACAGGGGCCCATAGAAAAACACACACCAAGGCACAGACTGCAGGTCTGGCCATCCCTTAAATACACCTGCAATCAGCCTCAGGTGTTTGGCTGACTGCACGGTTGAGTCTCTGATTGCTGAGAGCACCCGCTGGCCAGCCCTGGTACTGCAGCCCACAAGGCAGGTGAGTCCCACCATTACTGGCAAGTCCATTCCTGACAGTGTCTTTAAAGTGAGAATTAATTACAGTGGATGTAAGATAACTATACACCAGCAAAGCAATAATGAATAAAATAAACATGAAATGAATGAAAATCAGAACTAAATGCCAAAATTTAGAAACCTAAAAGACTAACTAAATACACAATACATATGCAAATATGCAAATGAAACATGCAAGGCAAGGAAAAACTAGGGGAGTAGATGGGAAGGGGAAGAACAAAACTGTGAAATGAGTAAGGCAGCAAGGTACTGGGTACAGTGCAGGAGCAAGAGCAGGATCAAGAGTTAATGGCAACAGAGTCTGACAGCAGCACAGCAAACAGGATACAAGGCAGGAGCCGCCAAAACACTGATGAGAGGAACCATAGCAGAAGTGGAACTTTAAGTACTCTCCCAGCAGTTGTTGCCAGGTGGAGCTGATTGCTGGAACCTGCTGACTGCTGGGAGACACCTGCAGGTGAACCAAGTCGTGACAATAAGATTGCACTTAAGGGCTACATTTATATTCAGAAAAGCTGGACTACGTTTTGTGATAAATTACACTTGCTTTTCTCTCTTTGAGACTGTATCTTCTGGTTCTTTTAACCCCATCTTCATTTTTCCCTTTGCTTCCAATGGGAAACTATAAGAACCCCCAACCAAGTCTGATCCCAACTGTGACTAAAAACAAGCACATACAAGATTGTTCTCTACTTTTTTCAGGGGCATCCGGGACTGAGGCTAAAATAGAACTCACAGCCAACTCAACTGCAGCAACCAATCTCTGCCTCAGTCTGACACTACAGGTCCCTCAGGTTTCTCCTTTAATGAACTCTAGGGCCCCAAGCCAGTTCTGCCCAGCTTCAAGGGACACTGCCAACAACACTGATTTGCATGCATATACCTGTATTAGATCTTTGCAAAAAAGAGCCAACTTGCAAAGCTATGTCTCTAGAATATTGAATGCCTACAAACTGGCTCAGGCTTTGTGTCCTTGTTCCACTCTATTTTCAATGAGCTGCTTGAGTGCCCTAAAGAGGACCCCTGGAAATTGATAGAACCCACTGTACCATTGTACCAAAAGGTACAGATCCCAGTAGTCTGAGGGACATTATATGTTAAATAAACTTCTTCCAAGTAAAGGAAGTCATTATGCAAGGGACGAGGAATTCAGATGAGATCCATTTCAATGGTTCCTACAATCCAATCTGTCACAGAATACCATCTCTGTGCATAGATCTATGAAACTGTTTTTAGAATTGCTCCAGGAATGACAAATAAAATACCACTGGGGCTGCCCTTCTCAGCTGACCGCATTCAAGGATGGTAAATCTGTGAGATGTAAATCATATGAAGATGCGCAAAATTTGCATGGAGCCTGTCAGCTTTCTAAAACGCAGTTGCCGGATGGCTTGGCCCCTTGTTCCCATCTTTCTGGGTACCTTTATACTTCATAGGCCAGCTCAGTGGATTGCTTTAAAAAGGCCTGAATTCTTTCTTTGATACACAGAATATAACTGGATACTAAAATTTATAGGCAAAGTTGATCCAGGGAATATCCAATTGCCTCTTGGGAGATCAACAAGGAATTTTTTCCCCTGCAGGAGCAAATTGGATCGTGCTTTGCTGGGGTTTTTTTTGCCTTCCTCTGGATCAACTCTGGGTGTAGGATTATAACTTTTTTTTTTTTTTTAATGGTTGAACTGGATGGACTTTTGTCTTTTTTCAGCCAGACTAACTATACAACTATGAGGAAGCTCGAAAACATGCATTGGAAATCTGATCTATTCATTAAAGGCTTGCTCTCCTTTGCTCTTTGGATGTTCAGCTGAGATTATGCCTGTGGTCATTTTACGTGATTCACTGTGCAGGCCTGGCCAAGGGAGGACTAATGGTGCTGAATGTCGGCAAACATATGAGGCTAAGGTCATCATATCTTGGTAAGTATACATTTTCACAGGAAAAGGTCAACGGAGGTGGAAAAAAATAATAACTGCACTTTGCATGAAAGTGCATTCATTCATTAAGCTGCATTGTTCTCACTCAGGTTGTTGGGAACATCATTCCCTCTTCACAGACAGACATATTTATATATATATATATATATATATATATATATATATACACAGTATATATATATATATATATATATATATATATATATATATATTTATGTTCTTCATTATGTCATAGTTCCCTCTCTTTTTTTAGAGTAGTGAAAGTGGGATCAAATTTGTAACTTATTACTCAATTTTAGTATTATGTGGGATGTCTCACTCGTTCCGTAAGTCTGTTTCTTTTGTGAACTTTTCACAGCTATACAAATGTATAGTGTATATGTTTAGCTGACTGATTTTGAGTTATTTCTAGGACTCCCCTAGCAGTTTCCATAAGTTTTGTTTTTTTTTTTTATATACAGTATATATATTGATACCTAAACACTACTGACAATACTCTCGATCACTGGAGACTTTTCTGGAAGATAGTTTCGCACTGCCCCCACTGTAATTGACCCTATTATTAATAAACTATCCATTAACTCTTCTTCCTGAACCTCTGCAGTGATCCTTTGGGTCAGATTATCACTATGTACGTGCTCGTATCTGTTGGTAACCTTGGTTTATATCTTATTATGTTATTTTGTGTGTGTTGTTTACAACATTTTAAAGTGAAACTACACTGTTTCTGAGCCCTACAAACCAAAAATGCTGCTTATTTCATTTTTACCGTTCAAAGCAAACTCACGTATACATGCTTTATTTTGTTGAGAAATCACTTACAAAAAACACCCCCCTAGCATTTCTGGGTGTGGCAATCTTGAGTAAGGGCACATGATTCATGTAGCATTTACTCCCTGGAATCCATTTGCCCTTAGATCAGACATGCAGGTTGGGGGTGTGCTTAGCTGAAAAAGTCCCTCCTCCCTTCCTGAAGACTCGTGGGATGTATGACATCATATGCCTAAAGTTTAAAACAAGTAACTATAATATACATTACTATCTATTTACAAATGCTAACGGCATACAAATTATAAATAGTTAATGTTGACTGAGAGAGTGAAGTTCTGTCTTAAGTTTCAAACTTGTCTTTGTTCTGCTGACGTGACATGGTTCCTCCTTCAGAATATTATTATGGTTCTTATTGTAAAGTACCATGTTTGTACATATCTTTCTCTAACAGATTTACCCATATCTGATCAGCTCATGAGACATGAAGTCACTTGAAGAACATTCCCTCTCACCAAATGCTCCTGTACCCACTCCTATGTGGAAGTGAGGTCACTATACTTGACTCCTCCTAAGGAGATAGGGGTGGTGGCTCCCTTGTCCCTCCCCAGTACCTATGTGCAAACTTGACCACTAGTCAAAATTTCTCCTGAAGTAGCTTTAGTACACCATGGTGACTCACATTCTCTCCCTCTATTTCCATCTGTTGTCTAGTCTCTCTTTAGATCTCTTATCAGCCATCTTTCCTACCCTGACTTTCTCATGCCTTACAGCCTTTATGTATTATTTCTCATTCTTCTAATCTACCTTTACTGCTACCTTCATAATTTCTGAAATAGCTGAAAGCATAACAAAACTGTTAGCATTTGTCACAAATAAAACCATGCAGATGTTATTAAATCAGTCATATTAACATTTAAGTCTTCTTTGGTCTGATTGTATTGACATACAGTAGATAGCAGTTCCTGATTCAATACAGACTAATCAGCCATTGTCAAATATATAAAAGAAAGATAGCAGACACTTACTGTTACCAATTACAAGATACGCACATCGACTCAATGAGATGAATGACAGTTTGAGGATATTTTAACAATGAGTGATATGGGCCTTAGTAATATACAGAGTAGTAAGAAATTACAGTGTATTCTAACCCCTCATGAAATCCATTTCATGAAAATATTAGACAAAATTCTGACTTAAAATGTTACTAAACCCACAACAGTAAAATTAGTCTGTATATACAATAAAGCACTCTTGTTATACTCACTGTGGAACCTAAGGGGTTAATCCTCTGCATTGTGTAAAAACGCTATTTGATCCTGACTTCTCTGATCCTCCTCTTCTTCCAGTGTCTCCCTCTTATCATAATACCCTCTTATAAGACATATCATGTAGAGTCACTCTGCACATGCTCATTTTGGTGTGTATTGCTAGAGAGGTTTTTTTTTTCTTCTTCGGAGAGTGCACATGATCAGCACAGGGTCAATCAGCACTGTCCAGACAGAGGTCTGGGGTTCTGCATCCTCCTAGAGCCAAATGAAACCTCCTACAAGCTCTAACCAGTGCTCAGCTGGACACTGATAGAAGTCACAAGACTGCTCTAACTGCTGATGAGAAAATGTATTTAGCAGTTTATACTTACTAAAATAATTGTACTTCCATGTTCTATGTACTGTGGGAGACCAGATCTAGTGAATGCAGGGTCATGGGTTTAGTAACACTTTAACAAGACCTTCAGATATAGGTGGGGTTTTGGAACACAAAGATACTGAAACATACAAGAAATTAAAGTCAGACCATGCTACCAATTTTCCTAAAATTAATTAATCATCCTTGTATTCTGGTATTCTATTTGTTTTCCAAAAATGCATAACAATTCCACTAGACCACCAAGTCATCTAATTGTCTCTGGATTCAGTTCACGGACATTAAAACTGAAAGTGAACTGAAGTGAAACTAGAATCCAACCAAGAGGAACTGGACACATTTTATACAGTGCTAAGAACAATAACATTCCATTCATCAGTAGGGAAACAGTATATTTTTTATATTTGGATATTTTTATTGAAAGAGATGCAATTCTGACTGAAAGGTTTAGAAACAAGTGGATCATAGTCATCATATTCTGAACACTAGTTGTCACCTGCAAAAATGGTTAATTAAATGCTTCCCGTCTGGCCTATAGCAGAATGATGGCGAGGCAGGAGCTCTCTCCTGCGTGGACGTCCTCCCAGACATGCCGCTTTTGCGTGTCTCCCCCGGTGTGCACAGCATGTTAATCTGTGATGAGCTGTGTCCCTTGAACACTGCTCATCACTGATTGGGATATAGAGCCAATGACAGCAGCTCTTTACCAAATAATCGTTGTGTCCAGTCACAGCCGATCACAAAAAATTTAAACAAACATGGGTAACTTGCTGTTACCACTTTGTCCTTGTTCACACACAGACCGTGTATAAGAAGGAGAGACCAGAATCTGAGTTACCACTTAACCTTTTGCATTACTGTGCATACCAACTGATTGCCCTGATAGCTCTGATTTAGCAGTGTACATGTCACCTAGAGCAGCCATCAGTACAGCTATCAGCAAGTGTACCTGTTAAACAGAGCAGCCACCAGTGCCCTGATTCAGCAGTGTACCAGTAAATACAGAGCCACCATCAGTGCAGCCATCAGCAAGTGTACCTGTCAAAAAGAGCAGCCATCAGTGCCCTTATTTGCAGTAATGTACCTGTCACACAGAGCAGCCATCAGTAGTGCCTTGATTGCAAGTGTACCTGTCACACCTGTGCAGCCATCATCAAATGTACCTTCCTCAGTATCACCAGAACCAGCCATATCCCAAAAATTCTACACCAGCGAGGAGGTATGATGGATGAGAGCAGCAGGGAGCTCAACCTGTTCAATTTGGAGTACGAACCCGTGTAGAGTAGTGGGTCAGTAGCCAAATTGGAGAAGGAAGGGTCCCTCCAAAAAGGATGAGGTGCTGGTGAATACTGGTGAATTGGTGAGCACCAGCAGTGCTATACTCCTGGAAGAAAGGCCTAGTACTAGTAGTGGGATATCACATCAGTCCCCAAGAATTAGAGACCATACAAGTCTCCCAGAGGTACTTGCAAAATCACTGTGGTTTCCCTCCAACTCAGGAACAGCTAGAATCCCCCCCTTAACTGCACAGGCAGGTGTTCAGGCCAACACAGACATTTTTTCAACAATTGATTGTTTTTATTTATTTTTCATTGACAAGTTATTATACTTAATTGTGGACCAGCCCAATCGCAAATAACCCCAATTCATCTTATGCCCATCCATCTGAATGGAGACCAGTCACAGTGGAGGAATTCAAATTAGTTTTGGGCCTCACAATTAACATGAGACTTACAAAAAAAATGAAGTACATGCTTACTCCATTCATCACACACTTATTTATTCAGCTGTTATGTCAAGGTCACACTATGAAATGGTCATGTGATTCCTCAATTTGAGAAATAATACACAGTGCCCTCCCCAAAATCAGCCTGGCTATAATAAGCTTTACATAATTCACCCAATTATTTTTTCCCAGAGATTCACTCAATTGTATATCCCTAACAAACACATCTGTGTTGATAAGTCCCTGTCTCCATTTCACTGGCAGGCTGGGAATCAAGCAGTTTATCCCCAGTAAAAGAGCCAGATGCGACGTGAAGCTGTACAAGCTGTGTGAAAGAGCCACAGGGTATGAATACGCCCTCCATGTGCACAGAGGCAAAGATAGCCAGGTAAAGCCCCCTGGTTGAACAACCTACATTGAGGCAAGTGGAAAAAATTGTCTGGGACCTTGAATTTCCACTTTTCTGCCACCTGTACCTCCAGAAAACCTTGTCCTGCAGTACAGCACAGACAAATAGAAAGGGCTTCCCAGAAAGGCTGGTGACCCCAGGCTAAAAATGGGGGGATCTGTAAGTTTGAGGAGTGTTGGCCATGAAGTGGTGGGATAAGTGATATGTATATGACCTTATCACTTACATGGAGATGACTGGAATGTTGTGGAGGAGTATCTTGCACCTCCTGTCCAACACTCCTGAAGGTGGAGACAGAGAGTATGAGGGTATGGAGTGGTATGAGTGCTAAAGTAGCTGGCTGGTGAAGTCTGTTCTTTAGGTGAGTGAAGCTGGGGGTCACAGTACTCAGGACAGGATGCTGAAGCAGCTTGACACCAGAGCAGAATATAGTAGCAGAGCTGGTATGCAGACAGTGATTAGTGACAGCCCAGCAACAAGGGAGCAAGTCATCAGATAGGGCAAGTCCAGAAGCAGGCCAGGGTTGGTAACAGCCAGGTAGTGCTGTGCAGATTCAGCTGGCAAAGACAAGTCCAGTAAACAGGCCAAGGTCAGAGTGATCAGATGAATAAATTTAAGGCAGGAGCAAAGGTGAAGTTCAGGGGAAAGTTGGGTCATACACGTGTAAGCAGGTTCAGTGAATCAGGCCTCAGGAATACAGATACAAGCTGAAGATCTTTCAGCAACTGCTCATGATGACAGATGAGTTTAACTACTTCCCATCCGGCCCATATATATATATAAACGGCCGGACGAAAGCAGTGCAGGGGCGGGTTGCCATTCGATAAACGGCACCCGCCATTTTAGCCTGTGCGCGCTCCAGACACAGCAGAACCCCGATCACTGTATGAGACCTCTGTATGAGACCTCTGTGTCCAATTGGCTGAGGCCAATCATAGCTCACACAGTATTTTTCAATGGCTGCAAGAATGCAGCCAGAGAGAGAGAGATAAATGATTGCTTTAGGGTGTAAAAGCAATCAGTGATAAAAAAAAAATATCTTCATCACCCCCCCACAAGTAGTACAGTGTCACTATGGTGACACTGCACTGCTAGGGTGACAGTATGTTAAAAAAAAAAAAACCATAAATATTAATATAAAAAAAAATAAAAATGTAAAAAATGTTTTAACCTCCCTGGCGGTATGATTCCTTCCAATTTTTTGTGCTGAAAGCGGTACCATTTTTTCGCATGGAAATAGTTTTTTATTGTAGGCTGTAATTTTTAGGAAAATTTCCCCACCAATCATTATCACTCAATTCTGTAAGTGGTTCTGATTTACTATCGCTGTTCTCTAGCCGGTCTAAAACCGCTTTTGACGTAAAGGGACGCTTTTTGGACGCCATGGACTTTTCTAAGTTTCCAGGCAGAAAGAACAGACAAAATGCAGGCAGGGCACTGGACAAAGCACTAGGGACAATATGTATGTGAAATGGGATGAAACAGCAATGTTTTACTATTTAAAATTGAAAAAAAAAAAAATGACATTTTTTTAATTTTTTACATTTCCCGCCGCCGCCGGCGCCCGTACGTCCCGGCGTTACGGGGACCGGAACACAGAAGCCGGATGCCGGCATCGGCCGAAGGAGATGGCCGGCGAAGCTGCAGGGGACACATCGTGGGAATGAAGGACAAGGTAAGTGCTGCAGGGACCCCCAGAGCAGCGCCGCATGGTAAGCCCGAGTGTAGCTCGGGGTTACCGCTTGTGGTATAGAAATTCTACCCCGAGCTACACTCGGGGAAAAACCGCCAGGGAGGTTAAAAAATTATAATTTTTGGTTATAAACTAATTTGGGTTATTTTTTTTTACTATAAAGATAGTTGAATACATTTTGACCAATATTTATGAACAAAGATTATTTATTTGCTAAGAAAAACACTTTTTTCAAAATTTTGGGATTTTTTCACATATAGCAAAAAAATAAAAATCCCAGTGGTGAATAAATACCAGCAAAATTAAGTTGTATCTGTCTCATAAAAATGCTAAAAAATGCATATGGGTACAGTGTTGTATGACCACGCAATTGTCAAAGCTTGACAGCGCTGAAAGCTGAAAATTGGTCTGAACAGGAAGGGGGTAAAACTGTGTCAGGACTTGAAGTGGTTAAATAGGCCATGCTAAATGGTGTGCATGCATGCGCACACAAACATGAGCACAGCGAACTAAAATAATACATCTAATATTGTCTCTTTGCTCAGAAGTATGAGTGTGTGTGTGTGCAATGGGCAGCTGCACGAATATGAGTATAAGCCCACACTAGTTTTCTGGTGCTGGGAATCCGTTTTACCTTATAGACTTGTCCTCCATCCACAATGACACCTCAGTAGAAATCCATGGACAACACGGTTCAGTCTGAAAGCCTGAGTGCAGACATGATTATAATTGGTTAAAGGGTGGATTTCTGCTATCAAATGCTATAGTCCTATTTAGCAACAAGAAGGTCCCTCTATTCACTGGTACAAAAAAGTTTTTAGTTACCTTTTTTCATTTGGCAATTTTTAATTTGTATGTTTCCTGTCTCAAGTCCATGGAAATACCCATCTCTTTTCTCAAATTTATAGAAGATATATTGTTACTGCCCTTTTTCTACCAACAAGGCTCTACACCAGAAAACATATGTTCTGATGCTGTGAGCAACATTTTC